TGACTGGATTTCAGATTTTTCCATTAGTATTTTAACTATCTATCTTGAGAGAGTATATTTGAAAAGAGGATGTTTATTTACTTAGGCGTTCAAGTCCGCCCTTACATTTACATATGCCTTCCATTATATAGGAAGGAAGTTCTTTACTTTACTTTACAATCAATCCTCCTACTACATATCTACTTACTTTATGACTACTTGACAAACATATTATGATGACATACCTTACACTTGTCATCATATTTTTAACATTTACACTTACTTTATGACACTTGTACACCTACCATTCTTACTTACACTTGCCCATACTCTTGCCCATACACTTGTACCTACTACCTATTAATATAGTATGACTACTTTACACTTGTCATACTTTACACTTGTCCTCTTTTTTGTTCGCTATGTTTATTTACGATAAATGTCGGGCTCCTGTGCTTACTATTGCTTTCTTGTATATATCCTTTTTCTAGTAATTCATTTAAAAGTATCTTAAATTCTGTTAAATCATTGAAATTATACTTTAATGGTTTTTGAGTTATTATACTATTATTATCAATTAGCTCTAATTTTTACTTTTTGTTTTATGTTTTTCCCATCCTTGTAAAGGGTCTTCACTATATAATAATTCTAATTTATTTTGGATTATTTTTACTTTATCTATAGAGAATATAATTAATTCTATTTTTAAGGTCTTCTTCTTTTATATTTTCTAATTTTTTGTGTAATTTTTTTCACTTCCTTTTTATCCATTCTGTTGTCTTTCGTTTTTTGTTATTTACTCTTTTTGCTCCTATTATTTGATTTACAATTGGCAAGCTTCACCATTTGTTTTTTTTATGAACATCAACCCAAACTTTTGGTAGTTCTATTCCACCTTAAAGTTATAAACACTCAACCAATATTTTTTTAATGGCTGCTACACATTCAAATATGGAAGTTGGGTAGTTCTAAAACAAAAAAGTTCATTTCTTACTTTGGGCCACCCAGAGTTCACAGTCAAATCAGACCTTAAAGTTTGAATAACATAATATTACCTTAATGTTGTATAAACCACTAAGAAAATCCTTTGATTACATTTAACATATAATACATTAACTTAGTCTTCCAGAGCTCATGTTCTACCTATCCTTATGCTTCTTAATCTGGGGACGTAGAATGAGCACATACTAAAAATGTCGGCTTCTCTTCGTCTCACCTACATCTCATATACAAAATTGTCTCTCGTGAAATACAAATAAATGTTGTTTTACTTCTATTGAGGGACATGGAAAGAGTAAAAATATTCAAAAAATGAATGTGAGAATAAATTAGCTAAAAAATGTTTGCGAAAGATAATCACAGACATTTTAGAGCTCATACTTGGACCAAGCAAAAACCTCCATTTTTTCATCTATTTCATTGCCAAACCTTCAAATGCAATAAGCAAAGCACAAGGAACCCATTAATGATCATGACACAAAATTCTGATGAAAGAATATTATGCTACAAATAAAAGAGAAAACATGAAGTCGATATTACTCTATAAGAAACATATGACAACACTCTTAACACAATATTATTATATTGCATACTCAAATTACTACTCCTGTTTCACATATGATATAAAAAAGTTTAGGAGTTAGTAGCTACTCTTGAGCAACAAACTCAAGATTAAAGAAAAGAGTTTGTTTCTGCGTTAAATTAATAGTCTTATAGGATTCTTCCATTACCCGGACATTTTATTACTCTCTCATTTCTCAAAAATTTTCTAGCGTCAACATTATTACTTATTTGCTAGATTTCTTATGTTCATTTTTTTCTGCATTGATCAGATGAAAAATGTTTTTAACATTATCAATTGTATCTAACTAATATGAACACATGAAACAAAAACTTTGAGAAAGCATAAGATCATATGACAGACTTCTAGAACTCAATCTAGTAACAGAATTTTCAATATTAAAGTTTCAGCTTTTATCCAAGAACATCTGCTAAAAATAAATGCAACACCAACATCACGGTCTATTGCCAAAAATTTTAAAGGTTCTTAAGAAAATGTGGAATGGTACCTTAAAGGACTTGGAAATTGGTGAGCCTGAAATCAACCTTTTCGCCTGATTCAACTTGCTTGTTATTCTGACTTTGTAATTTAAATAATGTTTCTTTGAATACCACCTCAACTTACTATATTAGTAGCTGAATTTTTTTCGAAGATGTAATTCAAACAACAAAAAGATCAATGCTGAAAGCTTACCCTGAATTTTCAGCATTACGTTATCACTTCTAATTTCATGGCAGCGTCAAAGAGTTCGGCAACTCAAATTCTTTCTCAATATTTTTTGGGGAAAATACCATATGAAAAAAAGATTTTATAAGGGAAAATGCCTATTCACCTAAGCCCACCGTTCAACTTCATTAGCACCTTGAATCATCTGCCAAAACAATCTACTCTTATAACTAATCTCTCTTCATAATACACAAGTCTTACCTTCACGGGAAATTTCGTCAAACATGCGACCGCATCAAGTCATTAATTATCTGCAAAACGTATCATATATTGATAAGAAGATTTTACTAATATTTTTAGTATTTTAGAGCTAGAAACTGCAAAATATTGAAAACAAAATTATGCATATATTTCAAGAGGCATCTATCAGAACTCAAAAGAATCCAAGAAAAATTGTGGAAGACCTAAAATAAGAAAAATCAGTAGAATAATAGGAAGTATAACCACAATAATGGGAAAAAAAGAGTAAAGATTCGCATGAAAAGAGGACCAATACCACACAAGAATACTTACCAGGTAAACAATTGAAAGAACTTGAGAAGTTGGAGTGAGACTCTGAAGTAAAGTTTAACTCCGTTGAAGGTTTAAAATGGTTGTCAATTTGCCATGAAAGTTGTCAGGCATAGAAGAAAGAGTAGAAGCAGAGGTGAGAGAGTGAATAAAGTGAATTTACTATTTTAACCCTACTCGTACAATTCAAGTTTTGTTTGAAGTACACTTTACATTGCTTCTTGTACCTCATTTTGGTTCCCAACATGAGGAAAGATTTTCAAATAATTGCTGAATTATCTTTTCAAACTTCTTCCATGGGTGACCAAGTATGGATATGGTGGAGTTAAAATCATTGTAGATTTGTCAAAATTGCCAACATTATGAAAAAGAACTCAATACAATGAAAAACAATCAAGGATTGCAACTTATGAATACAAATCAGAGACTTTACCATGTTTTGAATTACACCATCTTCCAATTTCATTACATCAATATCGTCTAATATCTCAAATTAGTTGAACAATGAACATCCCAACCTTTTTCTTAGCCCCCAAATTTCAAAGCCAGAATAGAAAGCACAATAAAACGTAAGAGTTTAATAAATAATATACATTGTCAACGTAACGTAAATAATTTTGACATGTGGATAGCACATTTTATCAAGAAGGTTAATGAAAGTCCACTAACTTGATAGTGCAAAAAAACATTTACATTGATCATGCATAAAACTCAAATGTAAAGATACATCATTTGCAATAAATGCATTATTTGATTCCGTGAGCATTCATAAACCAATACAACTGATGATGACCGCATACAGACAACTTAACTATCATTTCGCACATTAATTAGGTCCAACATCAAATGTTGTTACCAAATCTAGAGAAGATCCTTCAATTATTCTAAATTATTTTGATATTATGAGAAACATTCAAGTACCCTGCTGTATTCTCCAGGAAGCAAAAAAATGACTCTAATCCTTCCAGTTTAGCTGTGATAAAATGGAAAAAAAAATGGTTTTTCATAATGAGGCACGTAATGTTGCTTCTATATAGAATTAGAGGGAGTTGAGGGTCAATTCATTTTATGAATAACTTAGACTCTACCTGGAATTGAATGGTTCAAATTGCACAAATAACAATCATATATTTTTTCCTTTTCTCCTTCACCTAAGAAAACGAAAAAAAGACATTTTTTATTTATTTGTCTTGGTATTTCTGTATCGCATATCTCTTTTCTACCTCTCTCCCTTCAACAGTACAAAAAAAGTTCACTAAGAAGCGAGGAAAGGAAGAATAATTATTAGTTGACAGCTTGACCAACCTTTAGTGCTGAATCAAAGATCCATCTCGATGTAGGCATATTATCAAACACCCTTGGTGCACTAAGGAAACTTGAGTATTTATTCGTGAAGATGCATGAATAAATCAGAAAATAATATTGACATTCATTTATTATTTATAGAGAAAAAACAATAGAGAACAATAATTTAAAAGAATAAATATCAAAATTTGATTCAGATGATGAATGTTTGTCGAAATTTGAGTAAGAGTATCTCCATCTTCATCAACAACTTATTTGGATGGTTGTTAAATATTATTTTGTTTATAGTCATTTTCATCCAATTTTCCTTTCCACAAATGGATCAGGGGAAATAAAACTAGTCACATCTATAAACTTCATGTCTTTATATTCTCTAAAAAAATCACTAATTGCACAAGAAAAAGATTAAAGCAAAAAAAAAAAATTAAGGAAGAAAAAAGCGAGAAAAACTTATCACAAAATACAATTAAGAAACTTGAATTTAAAAGAGTCAATGAAGAAGAAAGTGAACCTCAAAGATCCATCTTGAAGGCTGAAGCTCTGAAGCAATGAACCTAACGTTGGCTGGTGAGTGTTTTGAGCATTGGTGAGATGATAGTGCAAATACGCGTGTCAACAGGAAAATAACAAAAAAAATGATGTCCAATAAAATAAAGCCAAGTTTGTAGTACACTTCACATAGCTTATTGTACAACATGTTATTACCATGTTCGTACATACTAAATCTCACTTCTAAATATGAGTAATAAAATAATAACTGGCTAGCTAAGTATAAAAAGACAACACACGTGTCACCAAATAGAGTACAAATGTTTCTACTACAATGAATGCACCAAAATTAATCTTCACAATACCAAAAATGCCCTTATTTGTCTCATCACATTTTCAGCACAAGGTACAATTATTTTAAGTTGTGTTAGTCCTTTAGAAGTGCCACTTCTAAATAAGGGTAATAATAAATATATAATATAGGAGTAAAATAATAAGAGAAAAGAAAATTGATGGGCATAGCCCGTGCTGTGCACGGGCCAAACATGTCAGGCATAAGGTAAAATGTTCTTTAAAATTTGTATAAAATAGAGAAATCTCATACCGTGCTAATTACATCCTATTCCGGAAGTCATCTTAATTACAATAATTTTGAAATTTTCATTGCTCTCAGATACATTACTCAATTGTTCGATACATTGCAAATGATACATTACTTAAAATTCAGTTGCGTCAGATATATTCCTCTTCCGTCGAATACATTGATCTCTACTCTGTTGTTGTGTCACACATTCCTCTATTGTCGGATACATTGATCTCTACTGATTTTGTTGTGTTAGATACATTCCTCTATTGTTGGATACATTTGTTTCTACTATGTTGTTGTGTTGGATACATTTCTGTATTGTGGGATACATAACTATATATGAATATGATTCATAATGGGAGGGATGTATCCAAGAGAAGATTTTTGTAATTTTTATAAATGGTAGGAAATTTTAGAGATTATGATATCTTAAGTTATATATTCATGTAATTTTTCCTTTAAATTTTGTGGTACTAAAAAGATATGTAAAATATATTAAATATACTTTAATCTTATTATCTTAAATATAGTACGTGGAAAGACAGAATAAAATAAACTAAACTAACCAAAAAATTCAAAATATGGAGTAGTAAAGATCGGTGAACGTATGTATATCATAGTTTTTTTCCTTTACAATATGTGCAAAAAATACAAAGATTTAGTTAATGCATTTTTTTCAGCTATTGCTTTACTCAAAAGTGATTGTTTTGACATATAATTGAGAAATAGTATAAATTACATACAAGCAAAATAAAGATGTTGTGAATAGTAGAGGACCAATTCTGAAGAGGTAATAAAATTGTGAAAAATAAATATTAGACAAATATAGTACTCTATACATGATAGTACTCTATACATGATATCCCCCCTCCCCCACCCCCCAATTAGGTGGGATTCTTGAAATTTTGAGAGTGTTTTTTTTTTTTTTTTTTGAAGAATAATTTTAGTAAATCAATTTTCTTTTGGTAGCATTTTTATGTCTCTTAAATATTTTAAGTTGTTCGTTATTATGATTACAATATAATTTTTAAATATATAAATTTTATTTAAAAAATTTAAAACTATATATTCATATTCAATAGAAGTTTGAATTTCAAAATTTCAATTATATTACATGACAGAAATTTCGGCAGACGAACTATAACACTGATATGCTTCATCTTTCCGATGCCCAAATGGCAATCACTATAAAAAAAAAAAAAAACTCAGCGGATGTTAGTAATATATTTCAAGAACACAAAAAATCACAAGGAGGACAATAGAAAATGGTAAACTAATGAAATAGAAACAATTGAAGTCACGATTTTGAAGTGAGCATCATAATATGACACGAATACAATTGCATAGGAAAATTTTAGCCCAAAAAAGACACGTGTGCACATTAGAAATAGTCAGTTACCATTTAGCCAATAAGACTATATATAGAATTCTTATAATTTGTCACATCTTTAAATACAACCTTTATAGCTTTTAGTACCATCCATAATGCAGTGTTCGTCCTCAATTGCTATTTCTAAATAAGAGTAATAATAAATAAATATAATACCATCGTGATTCATGCAAATTAAGGAGTGGACCAATGCTTCAGACCCTACCACGTATGGGGAAAATATGATTAAGCATGTTTTGTTATTTAGGAAAAGTCTAAACATCACGTGAATAAGTCTTAATATTTTAAATAGATAAAATTTGAACTTTAATTCATAGAAATAAAATATGGATAAAATATGATTAACCTCGAGGATTAAGCTTTATATTTTTGTTCACTCAAAATACATGAATCACTTGTTCTCCTTTATGGCTCAAATGTGGGCAATGCAATCGCAATGCACGTCGTTTTCCTATTTTTAAAATAGTAATCACCACAGTGTGTTTGGAATCAAAGGAAGATGGTTTTTAGTTTTTCCAAATTTAGCTAGTAAAGCCTTTTGAGGTTTTTTTTTTTGTTTTAATTTATTTTTGAGGTTTTTTTTTTTATTATTTTAATATAATAAGTTTCTTAAAAACAAAAAAAATGACATTATCTATATTTTATAAACAAGTTTCTGGGCCATAAAGCTTTGGCTTTTGGGATTGATTTGATCATAAGAATAATTCACCTTTTTATTTTTTTTATTTATTATCTTTACTTTATTTAAAATCCGGTGTGGGGCCATAAAGTTTCAAATATAATAGTTGGAAGTTAAATTTAAAATTTGAAAATACCCAAAACTTTGTTTTTAATTTTACTATATTTTTCTTTAACAAATTTCCTGAATTTGTTATTATTATAAAAACAACCTAATAATTTAAATTACATTTCTAAGTTTTTTTGAAAAGTACATTCAAAATATCTAATATTATTTGCCAAAACTATATAATCAAACACAACTTCAACTTTAAAAATGCAACTATAGTGAATATATATTTGTAATAGTACATAGTAGATGTATGTAGGATCTAATTTATGACATTATGTAACTATTTTCTTTTTGAGATTTAGAGCATATTTGATTGTATGTTTCAGATAAATTAGTCAAGTTGGATCATTTTGCTAGTTTTTAGAAATTAGGGATATACCAATTTGAATCGCCAGATATCAATTGGAATCAAGTTATAGCACGAACGGAGACAAAAGAAAGTAGAGAGATTTCCTAAAGTCCTATAGCCTCTCGAAGAAAAGTACAGACGTCTCCGTACCCGTTCCGCAAGAATCTACTAGACTCGTTTTGGTACATTGAGATCAATGAACCTACGCTCTGATACCAACTATGTCACGATCCAGACCATCGTGATTGACACCCACACTAACCCTCCGGTGGGAGAACCATTTATACTAATTGGCTAACCGAAGAACCAAACAACTAAGGCATTTAAGTATACGAACGCAGATTTAAATGCTAAGGAAAAGATAGGAGTTCCCATAAACTCCAAACAAAAGTCTAACAACTAAACAAATGCGAAAGAAATACGCTTGGAACCTGAAAGTCAATGTACCAAAACATCTAACAAAATCCATAAGTCTAACAAGAAGGGTTACAACCCCAAACTAATGTGGACATAGACAGAAAGAGAACTCTTGGCAGCCCGGAAGAACTGGCTCACCCTTGAATTTGAACAATCACTGATCTTCTAAGCGAGGTCTGTCAATAGTCGCCTGAAGATGCCATGTACTCAACAAAGAAAGAGCAAGTGCAGTATCAATACACAACTACAGTGTACTGGTAGGATCACACGGTTATCCCACTAAGTGCAACATACATAAGCCATTACAACAATACAATAACATGCATACACCGAACATATACAATATCATCAACGTTTACGAACAACGAACAATTTCACAATTCTCAAATATCACAGTTATATCAAGTCATTGGTCCTCTCATGGAATCCAAACCCAAACTGTTAGCATATCGGAATGTGCTATCCGATCCAATGTTTATGTCGAAACGTGGCAACCGATCCAAGTTAGTGCGTCGGAACGCAACACCCGATCCATTCAACAAGCCACAATCACAATCACAATCACAAGTATATTCTCACAATCATACAAGCAAGTCATGAATTCATTGCATTCATCATTCATATATCCTCATTTACAACTAATGTGATCGATAATGCAACATTCGCATACATACATATATCATAATGAAGAAAGAACAAACATGCATCACACAATTATAGAATCACAACCATCACCTACCTTGAAACAAGCTTGAAACCCCTAAGAAACTTTGTTCTTCCCTTTTCGGATTCGTTCCGCTTGTTCTTGGTCTACAAACAATCATAATAACACGAAAATCAATAAACAATCACTAATTACCCGAATTACTAATAATTCTATCAACCCTAGATCATACACATGATCCCCATATTCAAATTAGGGTTGTTTCCATCATAAATCCTAGATCAAAAACCCCCCCCAACGATAAGTACCCATTAGATTACATTCTACGAATCGAAAAATGGATTCGGGCAATTAAATTTTACCTTTAGCCTCAAGAATGATGGAAAACTATTAAGAAAAGCCTTTGGTTCATTCCTTAGCTCTCAAGTTCAAAAATTACAAAATAAAATATTTTTGGGGTTTATTTCCGACTTTAAGTCGCGTCTGCCCTGCCATGGTGGCACCTACCCCGCTACAGCGGCCGCGCCCTGGCGGCAGAAATCCTGCCTCACCGGCTTGCACGAAAACAATGAGCAAAATTAATATTTCCAAGACCCCATTTCACAACACACCTCCAACTAACGACACTCAGAAACTATCCGTTCACGCTAAGATCAATTTCAGGAGTTCTACTAGCCCGAATTCAATTCCGTAAAGTCGTACGGGTTCCTTTACGACTTATCTATCTACTCATGTGATCAAATTCATAATTAGATCACCCAATTGCTACCAGATTTCCCTAGACTTTAATGACTCCGATTTCGTCCAAATCTGGACTATGTTGGAAAATCTCAAGATACTACGAAAAAGTTTTCCAGCCCAAAATTTTTCCCCGTTGGCCTTTCTGTAACGACGGGAACAGGTCGTTACACCAAGACTTTGTTTTCAATTTTAGTATATTTTTCTTTTACAAATTTCCTGAATTTGTTATTATTATAAAAACAACCTAATAATTTAAATTACTTTTCAAGTTTTTTTGAAAAGTACATTCGAAATATCAAATATTATTTGCAAAAACTAT